TTTCACTAGAAGAAATATTACAAAGAGAGAGAAGAAAGCAAGTTATTGGCTCTTGCTTGGTGTACTTGAATTGGTTTGTTTGAGAGCTATTTATAGTTCTCAAACAACCTCTCAAATGTTAAACTTAACCGATGTGGGATTTAGAAACTTAGGCCAAAGATTTCAAAGTCCTCAATTTTGGCTTGAAAAAGTCATCAATTGAGGCTTGGCTTTGAATTCAACAAATCTCCACCTTGGCATAATTTCTAATCCCACCAAAAATAAAAATTTTTTTCCCTCAAATTCGGTGGTGTCTTCAAATGCGTTGTCAAGCGCCAATCTTCAAGTTGTGCACAACATTTATCAAATTCAAACAATGTTGGAATTTGATAGTTGTCACAACCTTCGTAAGCATATCAGCAGGATTCTCCTTGGTCTGAATCTTTTGAAGTAGTATCGTACTATCTTCCAAAATCTTCCTCACAAAATGATACCGTACGTCGATATGCTTCGTCCTTGCATGATAAACTTGGTTCTTTGCTAAATGAATAGCACTCTGACTATCACAATGAACTTTGATAGACTTCTGTCCAATTCCCAATTCATCAAGCAATCCATGAAGCCAAATTGCTTCCTTAACAGCTTCCGTAACTGCCATATACTCCGCCTCTGTAGTAGACAAAGCAACTGTTGACTGTAAGGTAGACCTCCAACTGACTGGTGCCTTAGCAAGTGTAAAAACATACCCAGTCGTTGATCGACGTGTATCTTGATCTCCTGCGTAGTCGGAATCACAATATCCAACTACGCCTTGACCAATCTTCTCATCCCGCTCAAATACTAATCCAACATCTACGGTGTTCAAAATATACCGTAAAATCCATTTCACAGCTTGCCAATGCTCCTTGCCAGGATCATGCATGTACCTGCTCACAACTCCAACTGCTTGTGAAATGTCGGGCCTTGTACACACCATAGCATACATCAAGCTACCCACCGCATTTGCATACGGTACCTTTGCCATATATTCTCGTTCTGCATCATTCTTTGGAGATAACGATGCACTAAACTTGAAATGAGGAGCAAGTGGAGTACTAACAGGTTTAGTCTTTTCATTCATACCAAACCTCTTTAATACTTTACTAAGATACTCTTTCTGTGTCAAATAAAGCCTCCCCAATCTTCTATCTCTACTTATCTCCATGCCGAGAATTTTCTTGGCTTCGCCGAGATCCTTCATTTCAAACTCCCGACTCAAATGAGATTTCAATTTTTCAATCTCACCTTGATCCTTGGAAGCTATCAACATATCATCAACATAAAGAAGAAGATATATGTAGGATCCATCTCGTAGCTTGCGCAAATATACACAATCATCATATTTGCTTCTTGTGTACCTTTGCCCCATCATAAACTTGTCAAATCGCTTATACCACTGTCTTGGAGACTGCTTCAATCCATACAACGATTTGTCAAGCTTGCATACCATCTTTTCTTTACCAGCAACTTTGAATCCTTCTGGCTGAGTCATGTAGATTTCCTCTTCCAAGTCACCATGTAAAAACGCAGTTTTTACATCTAATTGGACAAGTTCCAGATCCAATTGTGCTACCAAAGCCAATAAAATTCTGATGGAGGAATGTTTCACGACTGGAGAAAACACTTCGTTGTAATCAATTCCCTCCTTCTGAGCGTAGCCTTTAGCCACCAATCTTGCTTTGTAGCGAACACCAGACTTGTCAGGAAATCCTTCCTTCTTTGCATATACCCACTTGCATCCGATTGCCTTCTTTCCCTTTGGAAGACTGGTTAGCCTCCATGTTTGATTCTTATGAAGGGAATGTACTTCTTCATCCATTGCAATCCTCCACTTTTCTTTATCCGAACTTTGAGCTGCTTCATTGAAAGTGGCAGGAATATCAACATTTATGGTTGGGGATGCATAGGCCACTATATCAGCAAAACGAGCAGGTTTTCTGATTGTCCTCTTTGGCCTACTGGTTGCAATTGATTCATGTTGCTGTGAAAGTTCTTCAACTGGAACATTTTCTTCAGTTGATTCTTCTTCTACCATAGGAGTCCTTTCATCTACTCCGATATCCACTGCTGGTCTGATAATGCTTCTTTCAAACTCCATCTGCTTAGGAGTGCTCTCCACCTGTTGGGGAGTACTATCATTCTGCTGTACATCTACCTTTGTTAACATGGTAGATTCATCAAAGGTGACATCCCTGCTGAAAACTATCTTTTTCGTTTCGGGACACCAAAGGCGATAACCTTTAATGCCTGTTGTGATCCCCATAAAGAGCGCCTTCTTCGCCCTTGGATCCAACTTTGATTCTTTAACATGATAATATGCAGTAGAACCAAACACATGTAAGGAATCATAATCTGTAGCAGGTTTTCCCGACCATTTCTCTAATGGCGTTTTGCCGCCAATAGCAGTTGATGGTAAGCGATTAACGAGGTGATTTGCATATGCTAAAGCCTCAGCCCAAAATTGTCTGCCCAACTCAGCATTGGACAACATACACCGAACTTTCTCCACCAATGTCCGGTTCATACGCTCTGCCACCCCGTTTTGCTGTGGTGTATCTCTGACTGTGAAGTGCCGAACAATGCCTTCATTTTCACAGACCTCCATGAACGGATCACTAGTGTATTCACCTCCGTTGTCTGTTCGAAGGCGTTTGATCTTTCTTTCTGTTTGAGTTTCCACCATCTTTTTCCACTTGATGAAAATTCCCAATACTTCACTTTTCGCCTTCATAGTATACACCCATACTCTTCGAGAGAAGTCATCGACAAAGGTAACAAAATAATTCTTGCCTCCCAAAGAAGTTGTTTTGGAAGGTCCCCACACATCAGAGTGCACATAATCCAAAATACCTTTGGTATCGTGAATTGCAGTGCCAAATTTTACCCTTGTCTGCTTTCCTTTGACACAATGCTCGCAAAAATCTAACTTGCAAACACTGGCTCCTTTTAATAGTCCTTGATTCATCAGAAGATTCAAAGATTTTTCTCTGGCATGCCCTAAGCGCATATGCCATAATCTGGTTACTTTCAATTCTCGATCATCACTGGAAGCCACGGCCGCTACTCCAACAACTGCATTACCTTGATAGTAATACAAGTTATTATTTTTTCGGATTCCTTTCACCAGCACCAATGCACCTGAAATGATTTTCATCACTCCATTATATGCCGACACCTTGTAGCCCATTGATTCTAGTACTCCCACAGAAATGAGGTTCTTTTTCAATTCTGGCACATATCGGACATCAGTTAGAATCTTAATTGATCCATCCTGATTCCTTAGCCGAATTGAACCAACCCCATTTGTTGCTAATGTGGTCTCATCTGCCGTGTAGACGACTCCACCTTCTTTTTCCTTGAAATCAAAGAACCATTCTCTATTGGACGTCATATGATGGCTACAACCTGAGTCCAATAGCCATGTACTAGAATGACCAGTAGGCATGACAGCTAATGAAAAATCTGAGTTTTGATCAATGCACTCAGATACATTTGAATCCGCAACAGCTTTTTCTTTGTCAGGTCTATCCTTCAGTTTTGGGCAGTCCTTCTTCCAGTGCCCTTTCTCTCTGCAAAAGGCACACTCATCTTTACTTAGTCTGGCTCTTGACTTGGATCTTCTTCTCGTCCCCTTTCTCTGGTTTTGTGAGCGTCCTCTAGTTACCAGAGCTTCTGCTGCTCCATCTCTGCTATTTTGCTTGTCTTTTCGTCTGAGCTCATAGCTGTACAGGGCAGAGCTAACTTCACTGAGGGACACCTCAGCTTTCCCATGGAGTAGAGTTGTTTCAAGATGCTCAAACTCCTCAGGAAGAGATCCCAACAACATGAGAGCCAAATCTTCGTCTTCAAATGTCACATCTAAATTCATCAGATCAGTGATTAACTGATTGAAATTAGTGATGTGATCACTTAGAGTTGTGCCAGGAACATAAGTGAAGCGAAATAAACGCTTCTTCATGTTGAGCCTGTTCTGACAATTTTTCTTCAAGAACTTCTCCTCCAATCCAGTCCATAATTTATTTGCAGAGGTTTCTTTTGAGAACACATATTTTTGTTCCCTTGAAAGACACGATCGAATTGTACCACACGCTAAACGATTTAGCGTCCTCCATTCCTTCTCTTCAATCTCTTCTGGTTTCTCTTTTTCGATGGCAATGTCTAGACCTTGATTAAAGAGCGCGTCTAGAATCTCACTTTGCCACATGCCGAAATGACCGGTACCATCAAATGTCTCCACATTTAATTTTGTATTCGTCATAACATTTCTCGCCATAATAGATAATGACGAGCTTGTTGATGCTTGCATTGTAGATGAAGATCTACTTTCGGCCATCTCTACAAATTATATTTAGTAGCTCCTAAATGTAGAGTAACAATAGCCCAAGAAATCTTTTCTGATGTGGAAGATCAGACCATGCTGCAACCACAGAGCATACTAAGAAACCTCGAGCTCTGATACCAATTGTTGCGGAAGCCCTACCAAAGTTAAGGTATAACGAGTAAATTATTGTACCTAAAATTGCAAAATGGTAATTCCCAGGAAATATTTGGTGAGGCACACTGGCCTGCTTAAGTACCAATTTCCTAGACAGAATCACCTATATATGCACTTAATTGCACAATAACTCACTACAAATATACCTACAAATATAGCTACTAAATAGACAATAAAATAGAACACCAGAATTTAACGAGGTTCGGCTAATTTGCCTACGTCCTCGGACACTACCGACAATTTAATATTTCACTAGAAGAAATATTACAAAGAGAGAGAAGAAAGCAAGTTATTGGCTCTTGCTTGGTGTACTTGAATTGGTTTGTTTGAGAGCTATTTATAGTTCTCAAACAACCTCTCAAATGTTAAACTTAACCGATGTGGGATTTAGAAACTTAGGCCAAAGAATTCAAAGTCCTCAATTTTGGCTTGAAAAAGTCATCAATTGAGGCTTGGCTTTGAATTCAACAAAGATAACTGGAAACACATGGATACAAGTCCAGCAAATTATGCAAATTCAGTACCACATATATCCTATCTAGCTGAAGGAAAGAAGGAAAGCCCGTTTCTACCATTGACATCGCTGGAATTTCTGAAGCAACATGGTACCAAATTGAAGCGTTTGAGGGAAGGAAATCTCAATGAGCTGAGCTCTGATACGCTGATGGATACTCCTGACCATCCGGCCCAGTCAACTGCTAGCCCCATGAAGGTAGCAAAAGTGCAACTACGTAAGTTCAACTCCCAGAAGATTGATGTTCTTTCTTATGTGGCCAGTCGCATTGGAACCATGGTTCAAAGTCGCGGTCGCGGTCGCAGTCGCGGCTTGGAACGTTCCACATCGGTCTCGGCATATCCGTCGCGGTTTCGGTGAGACGCAAATTTTAAAGTATTGAATATTCTAAAAATTGTTAATAATATAAAAATAGTATGCTAAACAAAAATAATAAAAAATAGCAAAAGAAATGGCCGAGTCAATCCGTCACGGTGTAACTTGACTGATTTCTCGTCTTGACTCGGGATAATTCAGAGTGATTCGGTGTGACTCGGCCGAGTCAATCCATAGCGGTGACGTCTCGGCCGATTTCTCGGCGAGTCAAGTATCTCGGTATCGTTTCGTCACGATATCGTATCGATAGGGACCGAGTCGGTGACGACTGGCCGAGTCGTCTCGGTCTCGGCCGAGACTTCGAACCATGGTCAGATACGAATGTCCCTTTGAACATCTCAAGATATCGGCCGTTGGAACCTCTAAGAAGATAATGGAAGAGACTGGCAAGTGGTTGTCATCTTTCGCTGAGACCCTCAATTTGCCTTTTTCATATAAGATGGTTGTTTCAGATCTGAAGGAGATTATTTTGAGTTGGAATTTGATGAAGAGTTGGCTATTTTTTTGGCCTTGCGTCTGTGGACTCAACAAGTATGGCCCAATCACCTGAAAGCTCTAATGGGTGTAATCAGAAAACCCAAGCCAAGGATAGCGGTGGCCAAAGAAATCGAGGCGAATACAAATACACCGAATTTCGTTGTAGTTCCAACCCTAGCATACATATCTATAAAATGATTAAGTACAGATACTTGTAAGAGTTTCAGAAAGACGTACCGTACACCATGTATGGACTAAAGAAATCATCCCTCATTCTAATCATCCAATTCATTATCAATCAACGAACATTAACATCTTTTCTTTTGCACGGAGATATCTTCGCTCCTTCAGCCAATTGTAGCCAAAATTTTTCGTCCAGGATTTTGGGCTGAGGAAATATTTTTGTCTGCTCCAAAATTGGAGAGTTTTATGAAATTAGTTAATTTCGTAGTAGAATAATTTTAATCTGGCACAGATCTCGTGCAGACAAAACGACCCCTTACTTATCCCCTGTCATTTGAGTATGTTGCTATTTATGTTCGACATAACGATTCAAATAGACAGAAAGACAACCGACTATACATTTTTTTTTTTCTAGTTGGAGGGCTAAAATTGCCCATGTAATAGTTAAAGAGCCAAAATTTGAAATTTGTAATAGTTTGAGGGTCATTAGAGCATTTTGTCCTATATACATGCATCCATACATATATATAAACTTATTGTTAAAAAAATGTGATTAAATTTGAGATAAACAACTCTTTTAAGATGCAAAACTTTATATTTATTATCTGTTTTGTTATATTTTAAATACCATAAAATAAAAGAAGTTAAATATAGAATTTTTTTTTATTAATGACCATACTAGCCAATTTTCCCATGATTTTCGACTAAATAAACACAAGAATTTGTACTTGTATTTTCACGCATCATTTTTTTTGTTGACCAAACGCATGTAGAAACTTAATTAGTTTCTACTTTCTTTACCGCCTTTACTTCATTTTTTTCACAATATACAATTTCTTGTACGACTTTCCTATCAAACAACAGAGCTATGATTTTGAAAAGTTATACGTAATCCCTAATTTAAATTAAAGTGCTAAATTGATGGAACTTGTTCTCTGAGAAAAGGTTTTCAATGTCAAAAAGTACCCAAATATCAAGATGAAAATTATTTGTTAATCTCAGATACCTATGTATAATTTTTGAGAGCCATATGAGCTAGCCTAAAGCGTAATCTATATTGTAATTTAGCTCTTTCTATTACTAAAAATGATTTCTGTTCCTTTTAATACTTAATTTAGACCATAATGGGCTATAATTAGCGTTCGAAACCACATAAATGTTATGTGAAATATTTCTAAATGGAAAAAGGATAAAATGTAATTTACAACCAGTTTTGAAATGCTTCATGAGCTCTTTAGTCATAAAATCACGAATTCATGACTTGTCTATTGACAGTGCGAGATTTACACAAAAATTTAACAGCATATTCAAAATTCTTACAACCAGTTTTGTATTATTGTTCTGGGAATTGAAGTTCATCAAATTTTCTGAAATCGCTTAGCCTATGAGAATTCAAAATTGGTCCTTGCAACTAAATTGGTTGTACTTCTTCTAAGTTCCTAAGTTCTCCATCAATCATTTTGAAAATTTTCTGTTTGGATTGTAAATTATTTGAGATATTTTTACTGTAGCACTTTTTGTGATGTGATGAATGTGAGATAAAAAGGTAATTGAGAAGATAAAAAGGTGCGTTGAAAATTGTAATGATGATATAAGCAAATAAATTTTGGCTAATAATTCTCTATCCAAACAAACCCTTTGTTCACCTGCAGATTGGTGATTTACAATCTAAACGCTTGCACTTTTAGGCTAGGTAATATCGAATAATCTATCTTACCTTTTGTACAAGATCTAAAATTATATGTATTACCTTTTTTTTTTTAGGAATCTCTCATTTACACTTCCTTCCTCCGAACCATCCAATTCATCCTTTCCCCTATATATTACCTGCTTAATTGCTCTTTAAAAAAAAGGAAAAAAGAAAAAGAAAGCAAACTAGTACTTGAGTCAAAACAAGCCAGGTGATTTGACTGGAATAAAATTTTCAGTTATCACTTTCGAACATATCTAGTTGCAGGAAAACTAAATTGGAGAGTTTTGCAAGCATCTATGGATTTGTCCAAAAAAGAGTTTAGTGAACAAAATACCTAAAACCCTCTTTAGTTTACCAGAAACCAATTAATTTTTTTTTCTTTCTTTCCTAAACTTGCAATCCCGTTCAACCCCATCGGGTAAAACAGTTTACAGCTTGAAAAGTTTGAATAAAACTCTCCCCACTATTCCCTCCTGGAGAAAATGGTAGATTTAAATAGAAAGATGTAGGCAATCTTTTTTATCCCAAGTAGGATTAGAGGATCTGAGCTGAATTGCCTCGTATAGGACTAACCTTTACCTCATAAAACCAAATTTAATTGTTGGATAGAGGATCCGTACAGAACAAGAAACAAGATGAATTGTCGGACATCTTTTATTCTTTTTTTCATCATGCATGAAACTGTTGAAGCATGTGCATCCTAATCAAGGTTATAGAATAATTGAAATTAGGTATCACTATCAGAGGAGGGCTATTAGAGTCGATTAAAAATAAATATCAAGGTTACATGAATTTCATATATTAAAAGAAAAAAAAAAGTGTCAAGGTCACGTTAGTTCCACAAATAAAAAAGTTACATCTGCAACATGTTTGCTGGGATTAATTAATTTGGCTGAGTTATTGATGCAGCCAGTTTCCACCAGAATTATCACTGTTTTGGTTATGCTATGATTAGACTGGAATCGTCATTTTCAATAACCAATATCAGAAGATGACTGAAACAAAAATGGTTACTGCAACCATTAGAAACGAAACTGAAAACCAATTGCCTGCAAAATCTACCTTCCCACTGCACATAGCACATTTTTCACCCATGATGGCTCTTGCCAATCAACGTCCCCAGGAAATTGCTTGTCGATCAATAATACTTTACTCCTCGCTCTTTCAATCTTTTATGCTTGTTTTCATTCCCAGTTGATAATATTTAAATCTTTGTCATTCGGCACTTGTATGTTACTCCTCGTGTGTTCTTGTGTTCGGAAGATGCCGTGTTCTTGCATCTCAATAATAATCCTATTTAAAGATTCATCGGGATGCTTCAAAGAAGTTTTTGGGGAATGTTATTGTTCATCCTCACATAGCTTTAGATATTTAATTTATAGTTTAATTCATTGTGGATAATTTGAAATGGTAAGTTTCGACTGAATGCGTTTGGATTTAGAACTATTCTAGGTTCCTTGCCGGTCCAAAGACCGCTTCTCTGTCAGGACAACTACATGCTGCTCATGGGATTTTGTTGGTTCATGAGAGCATTCCACTTGTCAAGATACACAGCTTTTGGCTTGATATTATACCAATTTTAGTTTGAGCAGAGGAATCTTTTGCAAGAAGGAAGTTTCAGAGCTTTAAATAGGTGGTTGACTGAGCAAATTTACATAAGCCAATCTCTGTTCTTTACTATTCTCAGTGAAAAGATAAAAGACACGGATACTACCCTAGATGAAAATTCAGTACCGCAAATCTATTATCTAGATGAAGGAAAGAAGGAAAGCCCGTTTCTGCCTTTGACATCGCTGGAATTTCTGAAGCAACATGGTACCAAATTGAAGCGTTTGAGGGAGGGAAATCTCAATGAGCTGAGCTCTGATACACCAATGGATACTTCTCACCATCCAGCTTTGTCAACCGCTAGCCTTATGAAGGCAGCAAAAGCGCAACTATTTAAGTTCAACTCCCAGAAGATCGATGTTTTTTGTTATGTGTCCAGTCACATTGGAACTCTATCTGGTCTCCGCTCAGAAGTTCCTGGAGACTTGGAACTTGCACTGCTACTGCAAGCTGCTGCCGAAAAGGTGGCCAATCAACAATATGTGCAAGCAAGGAAGTTGCTCATCTTGTGTGGTTGCTTTGCTTCTAAAAGCGGCAGTCCTGTCCAAAGAGTTGTGTATTGTTTCGCTGAAGCTCTTGAAAAGAAGATTGAACAAGAGTGGGGAATAGCTCCAACAGAGGAACTGGTAGGGAAGCTAAGGAAGCCATTGGATGAGATGCTAGCCCAAGTTTATATGCAACCTGCAATGATGACATCTCAACAGGAAACACCCTTCACTCTTTTTACTGAGTTTACAGCAACAGAATCCATCTTGAATGCTGTAGCATCAGCAAAAAGGGTTCATCTGATAGATTTTCAAATTAACAATGGAGCACACTGGACACTGATTATGCAAGCTTTAGCTGTCAGATACGAATGTCCCTTTGAACATCTCAAGATATCGGCCGTTGGAACCTCTAAGAAGATAATGGAAGAGACTGGCAAGTGGTTGTCATCTTTCGCTGAGACCCTCAATTTGCCTTTTTCATATAAGATGGTTGTATCAGACCTGAAGGACCTCAGGGAAAATTATTTTGAGTTGGAATTTGATGAAGAGTTGGCTATTTACTCGGACATGCGTCTTTGGACTCAACTAGTATGGCCCAATCACTTGAAAGCTCTAATGGGTGTTATCAGAAAACTCAAGCCAAGAATAGTGGTGGTCAAAGAATTTGAGGCAAATACAAATGCACCAAATTTCCCAGAACGCTTTGATGCAGCACTTCTTCTATTCAGTGCAATGTTTGATTGTATCAACTCTTGCATGGATCATCACGTTTTGTATAGAAAGATGACTGAAGAAGTTATCTTTCCACGTATGGTTCAAAACATTATCGTGGCTGAGGGAATGGAGAGGTTTCAACGACATGAAAAAATCGGTTTTTGGAGGAAGCTTTTCGCAGAGTTCGGAATGGCAGAAACAGACCTGACCCGCTCATCATTATGTGAAGCAAGCTTGTTCCTTAGAAGTTCTGAGCGCTTGAGTTCTTGTACTGTGGACATGGATGGGAAATGTCTGATCATGGGGTGGAAGGGTGCTCCATTTCAGTCTCTTTCAGCCTGGAAGTTGCAGAATGAGTACGAAATCTAGGACTGCTGCAGGAGATGAAATTTATGGATTCTGTCAACTGCAGGGCATAATTACCGACTAGCTGATTGAGTAATGTTTTAACCTTATTGATAAAAATTACTACATTTTCTTTGCTATTTCTTAGTTTCTCTTGTGAGACGAGGAAGAAGAAATGTTTATGTTTCTAATGCTCCCAGTCTCAATGAAGTCAAAATCACACTTCTCTGAAATCTTCTATTAAACCATTCAATATACCTGCATTTGACTTGTTCTTTTGGTGCTGCACTCGGGTGAGGCTTCGGAGTGACATTTATAAGCACATCCAGACTTGGGGAATTCCCCCATGGTATAAAAGGTGCCGAAACTTTGTCATTTTTCTTTTGGATTGCACTAAAGATCAACATTTCTAGCTATTTACACTATAAGTCTATCCATCAACACGATAACAGGCATGTGGCAGCTGGAGAGATAGCAGGTTGATTATTTGATTCTCACAGCTGGAAGACAAAATACTAGCAAGAAATTTCTATCTTAGCTATCATGGTTCATTTCAACTTTATGGTGGTCAGCTTTAGAACAAACTTAGTTTTCTTAGAAGGCAGATTGTCAAAAACTTTCTTCTATTCTTTTCAACAAAGAAGTCAAAAATTTCAATCCAAATTGTTTTCTTTTCTTCTTTTACTTGTTCTTAATCTTTTGCCCTTTCTCCCTGTCTTCTTCCCCTCCCTTTGGCATCTTTCCGCTTCCATTCTCGACCTCCAATTCTCCTCCAGCCTGTCTGATGGGACTCCAATCCCAGGCTGGACGATGACTACAAACCATGGTCTCCTGTATTTGTAACATATAATTTGGTTTATTTACATCTTGGTCGTCTCAGTGTCCTCTTCTTCTTATAATAATTAGTCATATTGATGGCATTTGCAGGCCTAAATTTACACAAATATGTCTGTAGTTTGTATTGAGATCCATTCTCCTCAAGAAAGCTGCTGGAAGACATCAATTGCAGGAGAATCCTTTCAGTGGCTTGTCATTCTCCATGTGGTGGCTCATTTTTTGTTTCCAAAATCTCTCTTATCAGAACCTGTTTTGCTATAAGCCCAGTCTATACTATTTGCAGTTCAACTGTGGTCATTGACTATTGAATCTTATCTAACAAACTCTTTAATTTGTCTGAAAACTGGAGCATGATATTTTAAACCCTTATGGGGAAAACTTCCACTACTGCATTCACCAACTCCTGTTGCATATCTCATCCGCAAAGTTTAGCTGCATGGCAAATTGGCATTTATCCCTAGATGAAAGATTATGATAATGTAACGTGACACCAAATAAAAGTCACATACTAGTGTCTACAGCAGCTTTGGCAAGCAGAGATCAAACCAATTGTAGCGTGTCTGTTGTTCTAGATCCACTTGTCAAACACAAGAACAGTCAAATTACCAATATGTTACTATTAGTTTCAGATGGTTATGGTACAGCCTAATTCTTTGGCAGCAGTACTAAGAAACTGAGTAGGCATTCCAGTTGCAAGTAAGCTATGAGCTTCCCATGTTAAACACTTCTCAATATCAGTTTGCCAGTTGACATTGCCTACACTTAAGTACTGATAAGCAGGGCCATGAATGCCATTTTTGTCCACTTTTTTCCCACTAGCTTTTAGTGAACCAGCATACAGAATTGCACGAAGAACTGATGTGCTAAGAGCCCGAACATGAGCGCTTGGATGAGAGAGACAGCGCACTGTCGCTGGTAATCGGCACTGCAAATTAGCAACCAAACAATTGTACTAGATGTGTCAGTTTGCAATCAACCTATCAAATTGTTTGATAAACAAAATGTAATCTCTGATGTTCACTTCTCCTTGCAAAAATGAGACTTAATTTATGTCGCATGGCATACAGAAATCCTCATTAAATTTTAATGTAAATCACACTATGTTTCTAGTAGCAGCACTAAAGAATGCTGTTTACATGGGTATATTACCTTCAGTAGGTTCAAAAGGCCATCGGCCACAGCCAATCCGGATTCTCCCCACTTGAGTACAGGTTGGACAGCTCTAGCAGTTGCTTCGAGGAGCTTTTTCATTGTTAGAGAATGCAAATGAGCAAATACAGGAAATCAGTCAGTAAACAGTGTGTGTATATACATACAATGTGGGATGTATTTAGACCTGTTAGCATATACAATGTTAGTGTATGATAGATTTACCCATTAAAAAAACAATTTCTTTTGCAGAAAAAGATCAATACTTTCATTGATAATTTCAAACAAGCATATATGGAAAAGATTAGGAAAGAGCAAAATTGAACATTTAAATTTAGCAATTCAAAAGTCTTTACAATTTTAAAGAAAAGAAAAAGACAGCTGCTCATTCAAATAATTAGAATCAGCTACCTCCAGTTGCGGTAAAGTGCATGCTTCTCCATCAACGAGCATCCCATCTGTGGCGCGTAACAGGAGGTCTGAAGCGCTGGATAGAATTACCAATGATTCAGGTGTATCATGATTTCTCATTAGCTCCACAATCACTTTTACAATGCGTTGATTGATCCTCCACATCTTCTGACCAAGATCATCATCTTTGGCAATCCACGGTTGCAGTTCCCTCTCCGCCTGACAAGCCAAAAAAGTGAAGAAAGTGACTAAACATTTAAAGCAATCTAATAAGATAAACACTGAGGTATGCTTCGATGAGAACTGCAACTTAATAATATTCTGTTATGAAAATAATTTTTTTAAAAAAAAGGAAAAAGGAAGAAATAAAACATAGCATGTGGTTATCTTCTGGAAAAAACTTCAGACAGATTATCTTTTTTCAACTATCAATTGAAAGAAATGCATTTTTTGTAAACACCAACTAGCTATAGGAGAGTTCAAATATTATTTGCACGAGATTCAAGTAAAACAAAATCTGGACCTGGAGAACAACTGCTGTTGCAGCTTTTGCTGGTGAAGCTGCTACCACATTGCATAATGCATCAACAACCTGTAGCCACCCATGAAAACCTCAGTTAATGCTAATCACCTTAAAGCTACTAAATTAGACGCTGTCTAAAGCATATACTTTACTATAACATCCCAGATTAAACCTTCTTTTTTTTCAATAGGCATGAGTAAATCTTGCAAAAAGAAGTCATAACTTGATCAATTAAGGAAACAGCGAACAAAGTTGCATAAGAGGCCCTTAAAGTAATCTGACGAGATATGATTTCTAATATTCCAGCAACAGATGCAGATAAAGGAATTCTCTTTTCATAATACTAGTTCTTCAAATTGAAAGCAGTATAACACTTCCAGCATTAGAAGCACCATATTCATAGCCAAAAATGTCAAGCAGAGCAAGAATGGTATTCCTGAGTGCCTAGCATAACATAGGTTGCAAAAAACACCTCCTAAACCTCTATAGGAGCAAGAATGGTATTCCTGGTGCCTAGCATAACATAGGTTGCAAAAAATGCCTCCTAAACCCCTAAAAGAAGCCTTTTTTTTTATATCAAGATGACTATCTAGACATGAGATGTACTTGAAGGCAGTTTCTAAATAAGATAATTAATTTAATGACATCAATAATAATGCTTTTATAAATTTGGTTTGCTATATGATACTTCTAGAAAATACTTTGACCAACTTAATAAACAAATCAATGTGGTAGCACAAGTAACTGGATGCCCTATAATACGTAATTACCTGCCTCCATCCTTGTTGGGCAGAAGTGCTTTCTGCACTTGGTTGTATTTCAGGTGATGCAATCAATTTGTGCCAGAGCAATGAAACAACCGAAAAACACAGTTCTTGTTTTTCAGCTAGTACTGACCTCAAAAGAACTTGGGCACTACAACTGAATCCTATGTGCCTGTCCATTGTCAGAAAGTTGGCCAAGTCAGAGGCATCTGTTGGAAAACTACCAATTCCTTTGCCTGCCATACACTTGGCAACATCTTTACACTGGGTATCCTTAAGCTTAAGTGAAACTTTTGAATGAGGCAACTCCATGCATTGTTGAGTGGATGCCTCCCCAGGTTTTGAACAGCTACAGCTTGAGCACTTACTGTATTCTTTTCCATGGAAACATGATGAAGTTTCCTTCCACAGTGGCACATGTATTAGATGTGCTTCCAATGGTTCAGCCTTGTTTACAATGGATGCAACAGCTTTGCTGTGGATATCTATGAGGTTAAAAAGAGAAGATGCCCTGGAGTGTATTTCATTGTCCCACTTGCATCTCATCAAGATTGAAAGACCATGCATGCAAGCCTTTGACCTCCTAAACAGATCAGAAATATGAGCTGCAACCATTGCAGCAGCAACAATCTCATTTGAGCTATAACTCCAAGAGGTGCCAACAGAAGATGGTTTCAAAGAGAAAAGTGCCTCAAGAATTGCCAATATCCTACGGGTATGACAAACTGCAGAGTCAACACTACCTTTTAACTCACTGGATAGTTCACTTATTTTTGCAGGCTTAGCCACATCCTGTATGTTCTTAGGGTCTGAATGATTAGTCCCTCTGGAAAGCAGAGGGAAGAGTTGAAGTTCGCATGATAGAGCACATACAGCAGCAAGGACATAAGAATCAAATGCGGCAACGGGTCCTTGTTTTTTCATCTTCTTTGTTCGTACTTCTATATGCTTTCCATTGGCCACTTGCAAATCTTCACCAACTTCTTCAGAAGGAACATAATCTTCACCCTTTGCTCTCTTGTTACCCTTCGGTTGAGCTTCATGACTGACACATACTGTCAAAACTACAAACAGAAGGCGAGAGGCAAGTTCTACAGATGCACATGACTCCAGAAATAGTGAATGTACCATTGTGCGAAGCTCTGCCACTGCAAGATTTTTAGAGGCAGAGCCAAACACATATCTTGTTTTTCTAATTTGTTCCCTTGATGACTCAGGTGGAAATGTTCTCTGGAGAATTGCTTCGACAGTAGCAACAAATATTTTCATGAGACAGGTTTCAGAAGGACTACCACGTGGAAGATACTCAAGAACTTTAAGTAAGGGTATGTACAAGTTCC